CAGGGCTGCAGCTGCTGGAAGTTTCTCCTTGTCTTGTGGGAAATCATGCACTTGTCTGAAGAGATGGAAGCAAAAGTTCTTTTAGACAAACAGATTTTTTTTTTTTTGAAACAGGGTCTCATGTAGACTAGACTGGCCTGGAACTCCTTGCCTTTGCAGGCATTAACGAATGCTGGAATTAAAGGCTTGTACCACCATTCCTAAGTCAAATAGAATTCTCTTCCATAGTCACTTTTCTGGAGCCATAGTGTGTATTGTAAACTTCAGGCTGTTTCTTAACTGATCCTTTGGGTTGGCAGTAAATGGTGCAGAAATGGTAAGAAACAGATGTGAAGTATTTCCTAGCTTCTCAGCTCCCCCTAACTGACACTGCGTTTCCCTCTGCACCACACAGTTGCTGTGCTTGCTTTTGTTGTTTGTATGTCTTGGGAGCTGTGCTGCAGAGGTTCCATCTTCTCAGTGGCAGTGTGGATGTCTACTATATAAACACACAATAATTACTGTAGCCAGTCTCCTGCCATCTTTGTATCTGTCAGCACATGAGTGATTTCTTCTGTCTTTAGGAGTGCTGCTCTGACTAACTTTCTATGCAATGTGTGGTTTCTTAGGCAGGTGAAGGGTAGAGTAAATTTATAGAAGTGCTTCTGCTGAGTTAAAAGTCTGTATTTGAAAGCTTGCTAGGTTTTACCATATGCTCTCCATAAAGGCTGTGTTAACTTATACTCTGCCATTGAGAATCAGTGTAACTGCTATCCCACTGTGAGCTCTGGTAGGTTAAAAAGCGTCTCAGGGCTGTTGAGATGACGCTGGGTAAGGAACTGACTTCTGCAAGTTTTACTCTGACCTCTACATGTGTGTTGTTACATGAACCCTTCCACACATAATAAATAAACAAATGCAAATAAAATAAACTTTTAACTCTAGAATTTCAACTTGGGAAGAATACCAAGCAAATATTTCTATATAGTTAAGATCTGTGTCTAACCCTGAATCATTACAACCCCAGCGGCCTTTCATGTTCATTGCTGGATGTCTGTCTCCTGCTGTCTTTTGTGCATGTACTTTTCTTTCTTTAATTTTTTTACATTTATTTATTCATCTTGTGTGTGTCGTAGCACATGTGTGATGAGAGTCAGTTCTTTACTCCTAGATGTGAGTTTCTGGGATCAGACTCAGGTTGTCATGCTTTACCTGTTCAACTATCTTGCCAGTCCTCAAACATGGGCAGACATGTAGGTTTTCCTTTTTTTTCTGTCTGTCTCCCCTCTTCCCCTCCCTCCCTCCTTCCTTCTTCCTTTCTTTGTTGTTGTTGAAACAGGGTCTCACTATGTAGCTCTGGCTGGCCTGGAACTTGGTGTGTAGACTAGGCTAGCCTCCTGCCTCTGCCTTAGGGTGCTGGACTTAAAGGTGTGTCATACTGTGCTTGGCTACATGGTGTTTTTTTTTTTTTTTAATTAATGTTTTTAAGAATTCCAACCTCTGTATTCTTTCTAAAGTTCAACATACACACATGGGGAAAAAGACATTTCTTGTCTCTGTGGTATCTGTTGGCAGGTGGTATGGCTTGCCTGGAGGGTTTCTCCAGGGAGATGAGAACTGTGGGGCTGAGCCAGGTACAACACTTGGGGTATCAGTCATGAGGGTGCATGAGGGATAGGTACAGACAGGGCAGACTCAGGGTTGTCTGTGGGCAGTTCAGAAATATGGAAGGGGGTAAACTGTTTGGCGAGGAGCAGGGGGATAATTTTATTTGACAGGACTTTGCTGTGATGATCTCATTTCGTTGGCTGGGCTGTTTATGCTAGAACCATTTCAAGGAATGCAGTGTCCACATAGACTGCCTTTTGGTCTTATCACGTGGGCAGTACTGAAGGTGGAGGACTGAAACGCTGACAGTGACTGTGGGAAGGCTTAGGTGCAGAGTACTGGGACAGTGCTTTGCAAGGTGCTGCTGACATACACCCCGACAAGGCTCAGATGTAGTGGGGCCATCAGTAACTGTTTTCAGATGGGGAAATGCAGACACAGGTTGGGAAAGCACCTGCTACAAGTTATGCAGCTTTGGGTGCAGGGGTCAAAATGTGGTATTGATCTTAGGCAGATTGGGTCCCTCTTAAGGGTCTGACCACCCCTTTCCAAAAGAGAAACAGAGACTTACCACATTCAACCATGAGGCCAAGTGAGGTTTGCATCAGTGTCTGTTTTGGGTTTCTTCACTATAGAACAGATGCAGGTTAAAGGAAAGTCCAAACTCAAGTTCCTTGACATCTCTCTGCTAGCTTAGCCTGTACTCTGCTCTTCAGGCTAAGGAAACGACATCATTGATTGTTTGGTTCGGTAACTCACTGGCTTTAATCATAACACTTTTGCAGTGGGTACTGCCCACTTCAGTATGTGCAGGGCTAGATTAGGGGAGGGGGCAAAGATCTGTTTTCCAATATATGCTGAGTCTGGAATAATGCAGCAGTTCCTCTTATAGTTGTGGAAGAAGTAGACATAGCATTGATATAGAAGGGGATGTAAACTCCTCATAGTTCACCTCTGTGAGCATCTTGATGCCCTGTTATCGCTGAGCTATGCAGTGTCAAGTACATATTTTTTCTTTGACTGTGTTTTATTATGCTGATGAAAATGTTCACCTGTTGAGCCCGTCCTAGAGTGAATCATTAAGGAAGAGTTTGCAGACGTTGCAGAAGACCAAGAATAATAAGTAGGGTTTCAGTTCCTGCCATCTTCTCTCACCATGCCTGAAGCACTTGCTAATCCCACTTCTGGGCCTCATATTGTAGTCCTTGTGGCCAGGTGAGCATCTGAGGTGGTTGTAGGTCTGTGTTTCTCCAATGTGAGTTTTCTCTGGGTGGCAGCTTCACTTTCGTGTCCTTGGAAACTCAGCTCTGGAGCACATCAGCAAGCCAGAGGGTGTGGGTGGTGGGAGGGAAGCCCTTCAGGGTCTCTAGTCTCAGGAAAGCCATGCTCCTCCCCTGCTGTCTCTGTCTTCACTTTAGCATGCTCTTGGCTTTTCCCGTGCCTGTGCCCAGTGTACCCTCAGATTCAGATTCTTCATTCTGAGAACCCAGGGAACCTGAGAGTGAACAAAGCTTTCAGTGGAAATCCAGTTCTGCTCATTCTCTGTGGATTGAACCTCAGTTGCTAGAAAGAGCACTGCTTCTATGTGTTTTGAGCCCCAGACAGAATCATAGCCACTTGAATGTCATCTTCCTGAATTGGGTCTTCTTAGAAGTTTAAATAGCTAAGATGGGTAGAAATCCAAAAGTTAAAATCCTTTGATTGTGCAGCCTCCCTGGAAATAGGCATTTTTCTAAACCCGTTGGTGGGAATCAAAAAATGGTCCAGCACTTGCAGAAGGGAATTTGGCAACATTAACAAAGTTACATATGCATTTATTCTCTCTCAGGGAAATTCCACTTCTAGGAATTTGGCCCAGAGATACACTGTAAAAATAGTAAAAGATCATTCACTATGTCACTCCATGAACTAGCAAATGATTTTAAACAGTGCAGAGTTCCCAGTGGCAAACAGGACTGCCTGAGCAGCTGGTGGGTCTGCATCATGGATTGCTGTGCTCCTCTAAGGAAGAACCAGGGGTTATGTGTTATCAAGCATGAAGGCGAGGATATGAAGGCTACAATTAGGAGAGAAAGCAAAGGTGGGAAGTGATGTCTGTAGTATGCTGCTGTTTAGAGAGCGAATATAAATACTTTTTTGTTTTCATGTAGCTTATAAATGGAAGGAAGCTTTTCTTTCTTTTCTCCTCTAGGGAATCTAAATAGAGGGGAAAGACATAAAAAACAGACTTCTCCCCAAACTTTGTTTTGTATATAGATTTGATTTGGAATATTACATGTATTTGTTTATGTGTATGCACACATATTGTACATGTGTGAAGGTCAGAGGACAACTTGCAGGAGTTGGTTTTCTGCTTCCATTGTGCAGGTCCTGGGGCTTGAACTCAGGTCATAGGTTTGGTAGTGAGAGCCTGTACCTGCTGAGCTTGTTGGTCCTGTATCATGATATGATAAAATTAAGAGGTTATGGCAATGTTAATAAACCTTATTTTTTTTTAAATGTCTGTACCTGTTTGCTTCCCATCAGTATTTGAGAACTCTTTTTTTTTTTTTTAATCACACTTTTGACAAGTCTAGATGTCATCTTCTTGACTTTACCAAATGGGTAGGGAAAGAAGCTGTTTCTTCCCTTCCGTGGTTATGCTGATGCAGCATCCCTGCATCCATTATTAGTGTTTTCTCTTCTGTGACTCTGAGTTTGTAGTCTTGCTTCTTCAGAAGGTGGCTTCTCACTAGTTTATAAACTCTCCCTGCCTTCCTTTCCCATTTGCTGGATAGCACCAGTTGTATATCATTCCAGCCAACTTGCTTAGTCCCTAACTGTAGAAGCTGGTTGTCGCATGTGGGACACATGCTCATGTTAGTTTAGTGTTGCTGGAGCAGACTTCCTATGCCATTTAAGTGCTGGCCATTAAGTGAAAGCTCTCTGGAGCAGCAGCTCTATGTTCCTGTGTTTGCTTCTCTTTTCAGTTTTCTAGGACTTCTTTCTTATGTCTGAGCAGTGAGTCCTCAGTGTTCATTAAAGTTGTTAGCTGGTAGATAGCTAATGAAATGCCATTGGCCGTTTGGCTTGAGAGTGAGATTGATTGTTTTTGGTTTTGGTTTCTCGAGACAGGGTTTCTCTTTGTAGCCCTGGCTGTTCTGGAAATCACTCTGTAGACCAGGCTGGCCTCAAACTCAGAGATCTGCCTGCCTCTGCCTCCTGAGTGCTGGGATTAAAGGCGTGCACCGTCGCTGCCCGCCTGAGATTGACTGATCTTAATTTATAGTGACACTTGATAACTACTTTTATGATCTGTTCAGTGTGACTACCTGAGTGAAGTATTTTCCCCGTGAGCACACACACACAGATATAGCTTTGGTAGCTGCCAGCCTTGGCCATGTTCATAGGACATGGAATGTGTTCTTTTCCAGGTCATCACTCCCTGTAGGAAGCTCATCTTGTGTGCCGACAACAGGAAAGAAATGGAAGATTGGATTGCAGCACTCAAGACTGTCCAGAACAGGGAGCATTTTGAGGTTAAAAGAGAAGCATGTTTTCTATGGGTGACTGTTGTTGCCTCTCTTGCTCTTGCTCTAACGGGTCCCCCTTCCCCAGTATCTTCTGAGTGGACTCAGCATGTGTCTTGTAAAATTGAGGCCCAGGGCTCTTTCTTTCCATGGACCTGTCAAGACTGTGGTCCTGTCCTTCATGAATCTGACTTCCTCTCTGGGGTACTTTATGGAATTCTCTTTAGCTGTTGCATGAAAGAATTCCAAAGAGAATTTTTTTTTAAAAAAAAAAAGATTTATTTATTATGTATACAATCTTCTGCCTGCATGCCAGAAGATGGTTGCTGGGAATTGAACTCAGGACCTCTGGAAGAACAACCAGTGCTGTTAACCGCTGAGCCCACCAAAGAGAAATCTTATCTTTGCCCTCTTTATATATCATTCTTCCAGCCTACCCAATATAGTATGGACCATTTCTCAGGGATGCACAACTGGTATGCCTGTTCCCATGCACGGCCAACCTATTGCAATGTGTGTCGTGAGGTTCTGTCTGGAGTCACATCCCATGGGCTGTCCTGTGAAGGTAAGAAAGCTGCATTTGTTACTTTGTGTGAAAGGTGAACTAAGGATTGATAAACTGTTTGACATCCCAACGCAGTCATAGTAAATGAGTATTGCTATGACGGAGGGTGGTCAAGGGAGAAGTGGTTCCCACCACTGCATTCTTCTTGATCTTCCCATAGAAGACTCAGTCCTTGAGTGTCATTTATCACAGAGCTTCTAGAGGGAACAGAAGGAAAGCAGTAGTGAGGAGGGAGGTGTGGGCCCTTTCTGGGTTCTGTGTCATGGATGCAGGAGAGAAGATGCTTCACAGAGTGCAGGGTCATGGGAGGGTTCTGGTGGCAGAGCAGGGGTCACATAGGGACTGTAAGCTCTGACTCATGGCCAGGCCTGTCTTCCATTTATTTTGTATAGCTTGTGAATATGGCTTGTTTTACATTTATTTTCAGTGGATGAAGACAATCCAAAAGAAGAGTATTTTGTAATTATGGAGTTAGATGAACTTCAGATTTCAGTTCTGTAGTGCTTTCTAAGTTTGCTTATCTGCTGGGCAGAGGCTAGGTGCTGTGATGACAGTGGCCAGCATGGCCTGAAGCACCACGTGACGTCCCTCCAGAGCTTATTATCCACCCCAACTTTACTAAACAGTCATCTGTCCCACTGGGAGGCTCCTGCCGAGGGTGAAGCTTATGCGGTTGTGTGTTCCTTTTCCACAGTGTGTAAGTTTAAGGCTCACAAACGGTGTGCTGTGCGTGCAACCAGTAACTGCAAGTGGACCACGTTGGCTTCGATTGGGAAGGATATCATTGAAGATGAGGATGGGGTACGTCCGGGGGGATTCTGCCTGTGACTTGCACAGCACCCACTATCTCTTGCCTTCCCCCTACACTTGTCATTTGAGATGTCACACTGGGATCAGGTATACCTGCCAGTTATACCTGGGACCTTGGTGGTTACTGTACTCTTAACTCCGCCCTCATCCCCATAAGTCTGGGTGTCTCCTTCCCAGTAGGTGCTGTGATGTGAGCCCTGGGTGGGAAGCTTGGATGGGAAGGAGTGTCTCAAAAAGAGCACTTCTGCCCCAGGGTGCCCAGCTGACCCTGGGCTGGAACTCGGCTGTCTCTAGCATGCTCCTGCTTGGTCTACAGATTGCCATGCCCCACCAGTGGCTGGAAGGGAACCTGCCTGTGAGTGCCAAGTGCATTGTGTGTGACAAGACTTGTGGTAGCGTGCTGCGCCTGCAGGACTGGCGCTGCCTCTGGTGCAAGGCCATGGTGAGTGGGCCCTACCTGCTCCTCTGCCTGTGGGTGTGTGGAGACACCTGGGCGCCGGGCTTTCTTTCTCTCCTTCCTAACTCTTGTAAGTTTACCCCAGAGGTTTTCCAAAAGCCCAGAGCCTTGACATCCATGTGTGTCTGGCCACCCTCATTCTCAACAGTTTTGTAGTGCCTTTCCTGTGACTTTGATCCTGCCTTTTTCATGAAAATTATCCTGTCTGCTCCAGATGGCGTCTCAGTAGGTTGTGAAGGGGTCTTTTGGGACAGGTTCATGGACCTTTCCTGAGAGAGAGAGTAGGAACACTTTAGAGGGTCTTTTGAGAGAAGTTTGTTCTAGTACAATAATTATAGTGATCAAGGCCCTCATGTAAGGAGGTGGCACTGCATGGCTGGAGCCTCTTGAATACAAATCTCAAGGTGTTTAATGTTGGGTCAGTGATTAGACAGCTGTGATTTCTGTGGCTTGTACCTGGTTTTGAGCATGTGACTGACCAGAAAGGAGCCTAGTCACATGAAGGCAGGTTGTCTAGGAGCCCTGAAAGTTAAGGGTAGCTATGACAGAAGCTGGGGGCTGCTGTTCAATTTCATGTCTGGCTCCTATTGGATGTATCTGATTCTCACTTCCATGGTGCAAGGCCAGGAAACAGGGTGCTCAGAACACAGGTTGGCCTACTCTGATGGTGTTTGTCTCTTCTTGAGAGGACTTTCCAGCTGCTGGCCAGGGAGTCTCTGGTATGTCTGAGGAGACTGACTCCTGGTGACACATGGATTTTCATTTTAGGTTCACACATCGTGCAAAGAGTCCTTGGTGACAAAGTGCCCACTTGGACTGTGTAAGGTGTCTGTCATCCCTCCCACAGCACTCAACAGTATTGACTCTGATGGTAGGTGCTCCATGCTTGTGTTCACATACACGCTTGTGTTCACATACACGCCCTTTCTCCGTGCTGCCTTCCCCTACCAGCTCTGGAGATGGGTGACTTGGCAATTTTGAGACATGGTCTCAAGAGGCTAGGCTCAGCTGTGGAATGGTCAGGGGCCACAGTTGGCATCCTGGGAATTGCCATACGACTCACAGCTTGAATGAACCAGCACTTTTTCTGGAAGGGTTGATAGAGACCTTTGGCTATTGAGTGGAGACCAAATGTAAAGTGTCTTGGTCTGCCATGAGCTAGAGGGCTGTGCCTGTCACCATGTGTGGCAGAGCCTAGCATGCTGGCCCAGAGCCTCTCTCCATGTCCATCTGGACAATGAAGAAGCATGCTGGCAAGGATTGGTGAAGGTGATCTCTGAGGTACATGTTTCAGAGGAAAGAGTTCTGCCAGGCTAGAAGATGTGAAGTGAGATGAGGTGGGCTCAACCTCCTCACAACTGGGCTGTCCCTCACAGACTCATTGGCTCACTCTGAATTCTGTGCCTCTTGTGCTGACTGTTGCTGCTTATTGAGTCCACAGCACCTCAACAGCTTGTAAGGGTTCTTTCCTGTTCCACCTTCACTTCCAGGGTTCTGGAAGGCCACCTGTCCCCCATCTTGCACAAGCCCCTTGCTGGTCTTCGTCAACTCCAAAAGTGGAGACAACCAAGGTGTGAAGTTTCTCAGAAGATTCAAGCAGCTGCTGAACCCTGCCCAAGTTTTTGACCTCATGAATGGAGGACCACACCTTGGGTAGGGATTGTGTGAGATGTGCTGTTCTTACAATGTTTTGTAGTTAAGACATGCTTGTTTTAAAAGGATAAGAAAATTTTTAGCTAGTGCATATGAGCACTAGCTGCTCTTGTAGAGGACCTAAGTTTGATTCCTAGCACCCACATGGCAGCTCACAACTGTTTATAAGTTCCAGGGGATCTGACACCCTCTTCTTGCCTCTGTAGACACTGCACACATGTGGTACATGATCATACATGGCAGCAAAACATCAATATACATAAAATAAAAATAAACCTTTATAAAGAAAATTTTAAATAGCAAAGGAGTTCACCTGCCAAAATCCCCAAATTACACTTATGAAGGACATGCTCCTAATAGGTGGTAGATGTTTGCCCCCTTTGAGCTTCCACTGTAAAAGCACATGTCTGTAAACATGTACCAAACACCTACACTAGCTGCTATGTGCAGCATGTTCACATGCATCAGCTCCTGTGCTTGGGGTCTTTCCATGTCAGTACCTACAGACCGGCCTTGCTCTCTTTACTGCCTGCTTAGTTCTTTGGTTTCTCCAGCAAAACCAAGGGGGCTTTTCTATCTCGAGAACACAGTAGTATCTTCATGCAGGTGTAATGAGACTTTAGGGGCATTGGGGTCTAAAACTTCTCATCTCCTAGCCATGGAGACAGTGCTTTTCCCTTTTGGGTTTGTATTTTCCACAGGTTTGTAGGAAACATTTGTTTTTGTAAGGTAGGACTCAGAGGACATGCTAGCATTTGGAGAGATTGAAGTGGAAGGTGCTTGCAGCCCTACTTCAGTGTGAGTTCTGGGAGGAACTCAGGAGGGGCTTCTTTTGGAGCCAGATGCTGCTATAACACGAGCCGGGGCTGCTTCTCTGTGTGTCTTTAGCTGACGTGCTGTGGGGCTCATGTTTCCCATCACTCCTGGGTACTCTTCCTTCAGTTTCTTTTTTCTATTCTTGCCAACTTGCTGCACAGCTTGCTAGAAGACAGTCACAAGTGGCCTCCTCCCTCAGACTGCTTGCTCAAAGGCAGCATTCCTAGAATCCTGCAGATAACTGTTTTCTGAATGGCACTGATCCATTCTTTCTGAGGTTGATGAGGAACTAGTCTCAGTTCAGCAGTAGGGAGATTGAAAGTATCATATGGAGGCGGCACTACATCAAACAGGTTCAGGTGGCTATGAATGTGCTGCCAGGGATATTGCATGAAGGTTCCACTCTACTCTGGCAGGAAGCTGCATGGTAGAACTGAGTTTTAGGCTTCACTGTGCTGTGGCAGGGAAGCTGCACAATAGAACTGGATTTTGATGTGCAAGAACTCCATGATTTACAGCTGGGCACAGGCTGAGGTGACACAAGAGGTCCAGTTGAGGTGGCATGGGAGTTGGTTTACTCACTTCCTGTTTATGGGAAGCATCTGACATCATACAGTTCGTAACCTTCCTGAGTTCTGGCCTTGACTGAGAGCACTGCTTCACCAGACAGCAAGGATCTTCATAAGTGAATATTTAAAGGACACATGTAAATATTTCTCTCACCACTTGGAGGTCACATGCAGCCTTGCTGCTCAGAACTTAGGTTCAGATCTGAGGCCATGTCTTGTGCCTATCCTAGCTTGTGTTCTGAGCATGTCCTCTGTGACTCGCTCTGCTAGAAACAGAGTCTGCAAGCTCCCTAGGTGGGAAGGCAACATATGTTGATAGTTAGGGTCACATGGTAGGACCCTGTGCCACTTGAATGGAGGGAGACACTGATTCTTTGGAATCTCCTGTAAGGGTACCTATGTTAAGCCAGTGTCTTAGTATCTCCAATGTGCTAGCGAACCTTCATCTTCTCCTACATGCATGGTGGGGACTGGTCAGACCATGGGAGAGCTGAGGGCATCAGATGCTTGTCAGAGAGGGCTGCAATTGTTTGCTGAGATATTTGACTCTTTCCTGAAAAGGAAGGACAACAGCCTCTTTATTATCAACTCATTAGACAAAACATATGACAGACCTCTTGTTTGAGAAGGCTTTTGTTGGAGGCTCCCTGAGGACTCAGAGCAGCAATAGAGGGAGCCTAGCCGAGCTTATTGAGAGAAAGAGGAGGATGCTAGGGGGCCTGTCCAAAAGCTGGGCTAGGACCGTGTCCAAGGAGGAACATATCCTGGTGGAGGCACTGTAGGACACTAGGGATGTGCATCCTGCTGGAGGTATGAGCATGAAGCTTCAGGGGGGTACAATGTGTGGAATCAGTCATTAGCACCTGTATGATTCTTGAATTGAAAGCAAGGATGAAATCTGCAGGAAGAGTGTGAAGAGTGAGCAGAGGCTGTGGTGGCTTATGAGTGGGAGGGGCCATATAATCAGCAGGAGCCCATAAGGGAGACTGAAGTTAAGGAGAGAAGGCCTGAATTACATGGCTAGGAGGACTGTGTGGCTGGTCTGGGGGTTAAGTGCTGTAGAGGGCCTAGCATACTGTGCATATCTGTAGCCTGGGTGAGTAGTGTCAAGGCATACTGTAGCCTGGGTGAGTAGTGTCAAGGCATATCTGTAGCCTGGGTGAGTAGTGTCAAGGCTCAGTGCCAAGCCACCAGGAAGGCTGGTTGATTAGCACATGAATGAGGAATATTGAGGGTGGAGATTCTTGGGTCTAGTATTGGGCTGGGATGTGGAGACTGTGCCCATAAGTCCTCTTAGGCGCTGACATCAAGTGAGACTGTCTTGATACTCTGAAATGTGTATATTGTCTCCTCCTTGGCCCTGGCTGAAAGAGGTACTGGGATCACCCACATAGACAAAAATGGGTCCTGAGCAGAGGGGCTGGACAGACACCTAATGTTGCCTTGTAGACCCTGTGTACACCTGGGCTTGGCCTGGGTGCAGGTTCAGCCACATGGAATAGGGTGCTCCCCTCAGCTCAGGACAAACCCATTATTTGTCTTAGAGTATACTCATTTCCCCCTATTTTCTACAGCTTACGATTATTTCAGAAGTTTGACACCTTCCGGATTCTGGTTTGTGGCGGGGATGGCAGTGTTGGATGGGTCCTCTCTGAAATTGACAGTCTCAACCTTCACAAACAGGTACCTGGGTTGAGGGACATCCCAGCTCCAGGCAAGAGCTGAGGTCAGAAAGGGGCCAGGAAGTCTGGGTACTGTGCGTGTCTGTGTCCAAGATGTAGCAGTGAAGGTACTGGATGCTTTGTGTGTGTGTGTGTGTGTGTGTGTGTGTGTGTGTGTGTGTGAGAGAGAGAGAGAGAGAGAGAGAGAGAGAGAGAGAGAGAGAGAGAGAGAGGGAGGGAGGGAGGGAGGGAGGGAGGGAGGGAGGGAGGGAGGGAGGGAGGGGGGAGGGAGGAGAGAGAAGAGAGGGACGGAGGGCCATCATTTAGGTCAAGGGAGCTCTCAAAACAACATGGCATCAGGCTTTATGTGGGGAATGAGTGTGGGGGCTGTAGTCACCTAAGCTCCAGCTGTTTCCTGGGAGGTGATGTTCCTAATTGCTGGATGCCTCGGGCTTGAGAGGAGAGGAAGAAAGAATATTCAACAAGTTAGAGTCTTTACACTAAAATAAAAATAGATTGTCCTAATTGCTTATTGTGTTCATTGAATTTTCACTCCCAGCCCCTTCCTTGGTCATTAGCCAGTGTGTACACTGTCATAACCATCACTCAGGTTGTTTGTATCAAGATGTGCACAGTTCATCTGATATCACCTGCTGGTCTGTTACTGTACTGCTGAAAGAGCAGTATGTGTGCACTTTGCTCCCTGGGCAACTCGGAGTGGCAGTTCTTTCTGCAGGGGATGTTCTCCCCGAGGTAGTGCTTCTCCCTAGGGCAGGGGCTGGATGGCTGAGACAACCCTGGCAAAATCCTGTACATGTTCCACTGTCTTCTCTTTTGAGGAGCCATTGTTTAAATATTTGTAGTGCCACACTGCCCTTGTCAGGACTACTCCAGTTCACATTCTTCCTTTGTGGCTAATTCATTTTGTTTTGCCCAGCTATATAAACAGTCTTTTTTTTGGTTTTTGGAGACAGGGTTTCTCTGTGTAGTTTTGGTACCTGTCCTGGAACTCACTCTGTAGACCAGGCTGGCCTTGAACTCACAGAGATCCGCCTGCCTCTGCCTCCCGAGTACTGGGATTAAAGGCATGCACCACTGTCACCCAGCAACAGTCTTATTTTTAAGTAATGATAAAGTCAAACACAGCCTTATTGGTCTGATGTTTTAAATGGATCCCTGTTCATGGGTTTGGTCTTAATTTTTATTGAGGTAATCACATTTAAAAAAATTGATGTTTCACATCACATCATTGTTATACCAGCATCTCACTTGTCATTAAAGATCATTTTTCCTAGTTTTTTGGTTTGTCATTTTTCTCTTCCTTCATATTTTTTGTTGTTCTTGAGTTACTTGCCCCTATGCCAAGATCATAAAAACATTAATCTGTGTTGCATTATATATTGTCTAATGAATTCCTGACTTGAATGAGTTTTCAGTGATTTTGTGTTCTCTGTCCAATCCTGCTCAACAAGTGGTAGGTACTTTGTGTGTCCTAGGGCTTACTGACGCCACCAGTAACTCTAGGAAAAGAAGTATCGCCTCCCAGTGGTGGGATTATGGTAGGACAGTTAGTTTTGTGACTGAGCTTACTGTTGCTTGCTAGGAAGGCTGTGAATGTGGTTCTTCTACTCAGTCATGTTCTGTGAACATTAGTTTCCTGTGGTTCCTTTGTGTTCCTCGGAGCTCTGTCAACTCTCTCCTGCACTTCTAGTTTCCCCCGCCCTGTATATGGCGGTGTTCCTTCTCCTGGCTTCTAGTCCATGCTGTGTGGATAGATCTCATGGGTCCCATTCTCATCCTTCACACTCTTCCTTAGGATAAAGCTTTGTGACTTGCTGGAGTTTGGTGCCATGTCAACTTTGGGGACACTCTGGGGTTTTTGGGTGTTGTAGTGCCGCAGGTTTCCAACCCTACCTGCCACTCAGCTCTTACCTTGCTCATATGTCTCCATGCATCCCGGGCCCAAGTAGAAGCCCTGCTCAGTCTAAGATAGAGCAGGGTTGGGGTCAGTTTGGGGAAGCCACCCACTCATAGGTAAGTGGGAGCAGACTAGGCCTGGTATGTTCATACTGCCTTAGCATGCTTTTGATAGGATCCTGGAAGTCAGTGGGGGTGATTTTAGCAGTGTGGAGTGATACTAGCGATAGCTTTTGGAAAGTGAATTTGGCATCAGAGAGTGAGCTGCAGAGTGGGTGGAGAGATGTTTGGGAAGTTACAGACTTTAGGTGTGGTACTGCAGTATCTTTGGGAAGGAAGGGGTTGTAGAAACCAGAGTCCTTAAGGGTTCATTGTCAAGACATGTGAATAAGTGAGGAAAGGCTGGTGGTCCTGGTATCTACTATTGACCCCAGAGCCTATGTGTCCCCTCTGGTGGTGTCTGCTGAGAAGGTACAGGCCACATACTTCAGATCAGACCTCCTGTACTTCCTGTGGCCATTGATGACATCAGCAGGGTGGGTCCTGGATGGGAATGATTCTTAGACCTGGCGTCTTAAGGACATGTTTTTCCCACTGTTTTCCGCCAGTGTCAGCTAGGTGTGCTGCCCCTGGGGACAGGGAATGACCTGGCCCGTGTTCTCGGCTGGGGCTCTGCCTGTGATGATGACACCCAGCTCCCTCAGATCTTGGCGAAGCTGGAGAGAGCCAGCACTAAGATGCTGGACAGGTGAGTGGGGCAGCCAGCACTGTGTGAATGGCAGCTGTGGCCAGGCTTCTTAGTCTGAAACCAGTAAGGACCAGGAGCGTGGGCCTTCTGACATGACTTGTACAAACTGGAGTTGAGCATATATTTTTTTTCTGATGATTTTTGAATGGATTCTGAAAAGGATAAAAGCAAGTGAAGAGAAAACATGATTTAGACTTTCAGGCCATCTTCTGAGGCCGTTCTTGCATCCTTTAGGGTTGCAGAGAAGGTGACTATAGTCTGACCATCTTGGTTCAGGGTCTAGTAATGATCTACAAAATGATCCTCATACTTGGGCAATACTATTGTCCCACTTTTCTGTTCCCAGAATGAGTATGAGTAGTTATCCTCTAGAGCACTGGTTCTCAACCTTCCTAATGCTGGGACCCTTCAGTACGGTTCCTCATGTTGTGGTGACCCCAGCCATACAATTATTTTCATGGCTACTTTGTAACTGTAATTTTGCTACTGTTAGGAGTCGTAATGTAAATATCTGTGTTTTCTGATGGTCTTAGGTGACCCCTGTGAAAGAGGGTCATTGGACCCAAAAGGAGTCACAACCCAGAGGTTGAGAACCACTGTTCTAGAGCATAACTACTTTGGCCTCCTTGAATGGAGTATTTCTATTTCTGAGCCAGATGGCAGGTCCCCCACCCTCCAAGACTCTATAATTTTTTTTGGTGAAAGTGTTCCTTGGTGCTTAGGATTGAGGAGCTGATGGCCAGAATGATTTTAATATACTTCCCATTTGGGCCCCTCTTAGTGAGGGGGTCCGTGTGTCAGCTGTTGTGAGATACTTATCTCCTCTGGGCACACGGAGCAGTGTGAAGCTCTCGAAACTGTGTCTGATGTCAAGGTGGGAAACATTTCCAGTCTCTTCCAACAGAGCTGTGGTGACCTCTGGGTTGTGGAGGTCATCACTGGGTTGTGGAGGTCATCTGAGTGATGATTTAGCTCATCACTCAGACAGGTGATGAGCTAAATCACAGATGTAAAGTCAAGATAAAACTTAACAATGAGGCCAGACTGCAGGTGCTGTGGTCGGCTACAGTCCTAGCACTTAAGAGGGGGCAGAGCTCTGTCAGCTCATTCTGTTTCAGTTACAGAGCGAGTTCAAGGCTACCCGGGGTCACACTAGCCCATGTCTCAAAACAGACAAACAAACAAACAACAGAAAAAGAAGTCAGAATAGTACTAAGGTTAAGGCACAAGGACCAGAACATTGGAGCAATGAGGGGATGGTTCTGGGGGTCTTCAGATCCCTGGGTGCTGGTGGGCAGCCTGCAACTGAGCTGACTTTGGACCTGTGCAGGTGGAGTGTCATGGCATATGAGACCAAGCTTCCTCGGCAGGCCTCCTCTTCCACAGTCACTGAAGACTTTGGCGAGGACTCAGAGGTACCACTACCTACTTGCTCTTTCTCTTTTCTAGTGCTGGGCATGGCACTTAGGATCTCACTCGACACTGAGATGCACCCCCGCCCATCACCTGCTGTATAAGCCCCACATGGTGATCTTCATGTACTCAGCTGTTTGACTGCACTCCTGCCCCTTGTGTGGTCCTCAAGGGTGAACCTCGGGCTAAGCAGGCTCAATCCTAGGGCTTCATAACTGTATGGGGGTTTCCTAAGTTGTCACTAGGATTTGAGGGGCTTCCTAATACCTAATCCCCTGTGACATCCTGTGTTCCTGACTGTAGCTCAGCACCTATTGCAATCTGCTGTTCCTTTCTACCAGCTCCTCCTGTGTGCTTTCAGAAGTCTCCGTGCTCTATTTCTGCTCACCTTTCCCTCTTGGATGTCTGTGCTGTCCTTGCAGTTAGCTCACTCTGCGTCAGCATCAGTTCTCCCTGGATTCAGCTCTGCAGTCCTGAGGGGTGGGGTTTTGTCTTTATGTCCTGACTGCAGTGCTGGGCACATGCGATGTTGGCCCTACTAGGTGACTGGCACTACCTGAGTGTTGGTTGGTCTGTCAAGCAAGGGGTCAAGGGCAGCAGCAGTCAGCAATCAAAGCCAGACTGCTTTGCATGGCTTCACAGGCAGAGATGGGTCTGTGCTTTTGTTTTGAGAAGAATATTTTGCAGATGCTGGGCATGGTAGGGCATGCCTTTAATCCCAGGCAGAGGCAGGAGGATCTCTGTGAGTTCCAGACCAGCCTAGTCTATAGAGCAAGTTCTAGGACAGGCAAGCCTACACAGAGAAACCCTGTCTCAGAAACAACCCAATAAATATTTGTTCCGAGCCTGAGAATTGCCCAGAAAAATCTTGGAGAGTCCAGCCCAGGTGGTCTTTTTTGGCCCATGGGAAAGCTTGCTGGCCATGGGGAGGACAGAGAACAGTGGAGCTCTCCCATTGGTGGGTAGAGGTGTGCGGGCTAGTTTACACCCCATTGGCAGAGTTCCTGGTGAGGTAGAAAAGGTAGCTTCTGCTCTGACTGGCCACTAGTATATCACTGAAGATAGACTGGGGTTACATGCCAGGGCCTCCAGGCTTGTTTCACTGTCCTGACTGTCTCTTACCTCTGACAGGTTTTGTTTTGTTCAGACCCATTGTTTTAGTCTGTTCACAGGTTGGTGAAGCTTTTGACCTTGTTCCCTTAGCAGTGGATAGCACTGACAGTGTTTGGAGAGGGTCTGTTCTGTTAGAGGTTATACCAGAAAGACCCGAGAAAACCCGAGTTGGAGACTGATGGCACTCACAGTCAACTGTGAGACTAAGTGCCCCTGTTTTGGTGTGATTATAGGTGCAACAAATTCTCTTCTATGAAGACTCGGTTGCAGCCCATCTTTCTAAAATCTTGACTTCAGACCAGCATTCCGTGGTGATCTCATCAGCCAAGTGAGTGCCAGGGCTTCAGGGATTCAGAGAGGCAGCCAAGGGTGCCGCCCAGGACCCCACCCCAGCTGCCTTCTGTTTCCTGCAGAGTGCTCTGTGAGACAGTGAAGGACTTCGTCGCTCGGGTGGGCAAGGCCTATGAGAAGACAACAGAGAGCTCACAGGAGTCGGAGGCCATGGCCACGAAGGTGGGCTCCCGGGCACAGGGCAGGTGGGGCAGCAGCTGCACAAGGACTTGCTCTCCAGGCCACTTTTTCTTCCATGTAGTGCTCTGTCTTGAAAGAGAAGCTAGACTCTCTCCTCAAGACCTTGGACGATGAGTCTCAGGCTTCATCCTCCCTGTCCAACCCACCTCCAACTATTGCTGAGGAGGCTGAGGATGGGGACGGATCAGGCAACATCTGTAACTCTGCTGGGGACCGGCTGATGGGCTCGGCATGCCCCTCCCGGCCACAGATCTTCCGGCCTCGGGAGCAGCTAATGCTGAGAGCGAACAGCCTGAAGAAAGCAATTCGCCAGATCATAGAGCACACAGAAAAAGGTAATGGATCTCTCAGTCACTAGGTGGCACTGGAATTCCCATGTTCCCTGGATGTGGCAATAGACCAAGCACTGGGAAGCAGTCATTCTGGTCCAAGGGCTTCCTCACCTTCACCCTTACATAGGACACTCCCAACCTTACCACCATTCACACCCTCCTGTCCTCTCTCACTTCCCTCAGACAACACTTCACACCATGCCCTTCCCTCACTCCTTACCCTGAGTGGACCCACCTCTTCTCACTTCAGACTCTGTGGTCACACACTACCTTGTCACTCTCCTGCTAGGGCCTCTCTCTAACTCTTTTCACCTCCAAATTCTCCTGTCTCAGAGTCCTTCTCCCCAGCCTATTAGCTGGGATGCCTAGGTCCTGTTACATTAACTGAGCTAGGGCACTGGGCTAAGGTGTGGTATGGTGAAGATTTTGGGTCTGAGCCTTGAGAAGAGAGGACCTAAAGCCCCGTTAGTCCTACTGGCACAGTCTTAGCAAGAATATTCTTTCTTACCAGCGGTGGATGAGCAGAACGCCCAGACCCAGGAGCAGCAGGGTTTTGTCCTGGGCCTCTCTGAATCTGAGGAGAAGAAGGACCTGAAAACTGATAATAGGGTGTGCCCGACATCTGCCCATAGTGAGAGCTGTGTAGTTGCCAAGGGGAGGAGCCACCGCAAAGGTATGACTGGGCTTTGGTTTGGGTGATACTTGGTGCGCTTGTCATGGGCATTTTAGGGTGCTTTTTCTCATTGCTCTGGCTTCATGAGTAAACCAACATTCCCACCTGTGGCCTACATCTCTGTACCTCCTTCATGTCACTGAGATGTGTTTAGTGGAGACATGTGCACTGTAGGACCTGCAGGAAAGAGGGCCTCCCCAGCTGAGGAGCATCTGGTGCCTGTCTTCCCTGAGTTTCCTCAGAGCCTTCTTATGGCTGCTCATAGGTGTCTGGGAAAACTGAGACTTTGGTCCCTCTTGCAATAGACCCCAGCAAAGGTTTTCAAAAGCCTGTCCTGCCACTGTTGGGGAGGGGGGCTCTTCCAGAGTAGACATAGTGTTGATTAGCATCAGAACTCTGTGCCTTCTATACCCAGACTGTGATTAGGGATCAACCCCTCTCCATCCTTACACTGCTTTCCATGTCTGTGTCCGTTCACGATGAATCCAGACCCACAGTGTATGTGTGAGGACCTCTCCCTTTCCCCAGGGACTGTTCATCTCACATACTGCTGGCTGATGAGTGGCTTATAACCCTCCTTCTTCCCACAGCCCTCTTGTCTGTTCATTTTGTTGTGACTTCTTTCAGCTGTGTTTGACTTTGGGCAGTTTCAGTGTGTGTTGTCCTGTTTTACAGCATCCAGAGCCCCTTGTGAAAAGCTAACGAGCAAAGGTCTGTCCCTTGGCAGCTCTGCCTCACTCCCTCCCCAGACAGGAAGCCGGGATGGCCTGCCTGCTCTGAACACCAAGATCCTGTATCCAAGTGAGTGAGCCACTCCCTGCTGGAGGTCTCAGGTTGGGGGTGGGGTACCAAGGAGGCTAGAGGTGCTTGCTGGCCATGGCTGGGCTTGTGGCACCCTGAGTCTTGGAATAAGAGTGTTGCTATCCTTGGAGAGCTTGTAGGCTCATGGAAATACAGACAGAACTCTGTAGTTTATGTGACTCTATGAAAAGTGCCTTTTTGTTTAATTAGTTTTTTATTCTTTAGCAATTTCATACATGTATATAATGTATTTTGATCATATCTATTCCCAACACTCCCCTCCAGATCCCCCCATGGCCCTCCAATGTGTTCTCCCAACTTTATGTCTCCTCTTAAAATTTTTTAATTTTTTTATAATCCACCTAGTCTAATTAATATGCTCCACCCACTGCAACGTGGGCAACTTATGAGCAGCCACACACCTAACAAAAATTACCCTCTCTTCCCTAAAAGCTATCAACTGCCAGTAAGTAGCTCCTTAGCTGGGCCCAAGGCCTTAGAAGGAGCCCTTCCCCTGTCCGTCTGAATTCTGACTGGCTTGATCTTGTGCAGGTAGTCAGTGCTGCTGTGCGTCATGAGTGCAGTTGCCATGTTGTGTCCAGAAGACAGCCTGTCACAGCTCTCTTCCCCATCCTCTGTCCTGTTTTCCTCAGTGTTCCCTGAGCCTTTGGGAGGGCTTGATATAGATGTCCTATTTAGGGTAGAACACTCAACACTCATTCATTCTTGGCACTTTGACCAACTAAGAGTCTCTCCATTAACCACTGCCCACTGGAGAAGCATCTCTGACCAAGGTGGAGCATAGCACTAATCCACAGGTAGAAACAAATATTTAGATTACAACTTGATATCGTAATTGTTTAGCAAAACAGAAGGTTCTTTCTTAGGACCCATACTCTTCCCAGGCATGGACTATTGGCCAGGCTTATAGCACTAGGCATGACTTCCCCTCTTGTGGTACAGGCCAAATCCAGGCAGGAAGTAGTTAGCTATCCCATAACAGTCATACCACTATTGTACCATGGGCACCTCTTGCCTGGCAGGTCAGTATTGCAGCATGCAGGGTCCAGGGCTGGGTAAGACCATTGGTATTTTTTCTCCCAGCAGTCCACAAAAGCACATTCTAGCTCCATGAAAGCTAGCCAAAAGGGAGAGAGCTCCAGATTGATTTCTCTCTGCCCTGAAAGTCAGGTGTGCTGTGTCTTTAGCAAGAGAGGTTTACCATGTAGTTATGGTGGACAACTGTAGTGGTATGTTTCTCCGGTCCTGCCTGGCCTCGTGGTCCTGTAGCTGATTATAAAACAATCATTTAGAGACTTAATATTATTTACAAACTGTATGGCCTATGGCAGGCTTCTTGCTAGCTAGCTCTTTCATCTTAAATTAACCCATTTCTATTAAATCTATGTTTTGCCACATGGCTGTGGCGTTACTGGTCTGTAGGCGTCTTGCTGCTCCTTGGGTGGTGGCTAGGCCTCTCTCCCTACTCTCCTTTCTTTTCTCTCTATCTCTGCTTGGATTTCCCACCTGCCTCTAAGCTGCCTTGCCATAGGCCAAAACAGCTTTATTTATTAGCCAATGGGAGCAACACATTCACAGCATACAGAAAGACATCCCACAGCACTTCCCCCCTTTTTAAGCCTCTGAGTGATTATTTTATAAAGGGCTGCAGGACCTCGTGGCAGGAGGAGAAATATACCATTACAGACAACCAGAGCAGTGTCAATAGTGCATGTTGTTTTGGGAGCTCCTGGGGCCTCCCTTGACCAATAACTTATAGGGTAGTATCTCAAGCCTGGAAAGGTACCTGTTTAAATAAAAGGCATGTAGTGCCCAAATAATGCCCAGGTATATAGCTAAGGAGACAGTTTTTAGGTGTCTTCTGGGTGTTCAATTCTACTGGCTAATATAACCTACTTTTGTTGCATAAATATGGGATGGTAGTGGTGATTTTGAATTGTTAGTCACATTGGAGCACTTGTTCATAATGTTGTCCTGTAGAATATGTGGTGTCAACCTTGGAGATTTGATTTGCTCTGTCTAGAGCTCCCGGCCAGTACCCTCTTCCTCTTCCCTTTCAGGTGTTCGGGCAGGGATGTCTGGCTCCTTGCCGGGGGGCTCAGTCATCAGTCGCTTGCTAATTAATGCTGATCCCTTTAATGCTGAACCTGAAAACCTGTGAGTATGAGGCAACACCACTGGGACATTTTGTTAGGATGCAGAGTGCAGAGGTCTGATTCAAAAATCAGAGCCATCAGCGGACAGCTGAGTAGCAAGCTCTTTTTGGGCTGTTCTTAAATGAGGAAAATTGGCAGCCTCAGAAGTGTGTCTGAGAGCCTTCCCCATAGGCTACTGTAGGACAGCAGAGGACAGACCTGTTTATTGTCCTGTCCCAGGCTCCACAACAGGCCAGATCAGTGTTGACTGTGTTGACATCTCTTTACTCGTTACATTGTTTTTGTCCTTGTCTCTTGTCTTCCCATGATGTCTGCCATCCCTTCAGTGATGTAGCATTCCGAGACTGAAAGATGGGTCCTCCAGGTGGTTGTTCCCTGGTCTTAGGGTTCCCAGGAGACAGTCTTACTTTGAGGATTTTAGAGAGAAAGTCTGATTGCTGCTCTCTGCTGTGTTACAGTGGGGGCGTGGCCTCTTCTGCTGTGTTCTAAGGCCTTGAGGACATCTGCATAGTGGTTTAATGGATCCCTTGTGTATATTAGAGCTCACTGTAGATGGTTTTCCTCAAACCAAAGAAGACAATATTCTAGAGATTTTTTTTTTTATTACTGCTGATTACAGCCTGTGGGCAGCTAGAGGGCGGTGACAGCTGGCTATAAGTTGCCTGCTCCTACTGTCTGGTGTGGTATGACGGAGTACTTGTGTGGTTCACAGAGGCCCTGTTTTGGTAAGCTGGCTCTTCAGCCAGGCTGGTGGTACATGGATCTCTGCTCCTGGTCTGGTCTTCCCTCAGCAGGGCCAGAGTTGTAGTCCCTCTGGGACAGCACTCTTGGGGCCCTGGACCAGGAGACTTCCTTTGCTTACGTCCTTTGATGTCATGGCCCCCATCTGTGACTAAGCCTGTTCTTCCCCTCTCTGTCATTGGTAGGTTCCTCTTCCTTAGATCCCTGCACCCAACCTCCTCCTTTCTTGTCCTTGTACCCTATTTTCTGCATTACTTTTTTTTTTAATCTTCTAGGACCTATAAGTACTGTTCATCATGTGTTCTTTAGCTTGTAATATAGTTTGGCCCCAGAGCTTTTCTGAGCAATTATAAGGCACTTGAATTAGGTGTGTGATCAGGAAGGATTCCTGCTGTAGAGATTGGTTCTCATCAGAGTGTAAGAAACTTAGGCTAAAATGTATTAGAATTCTGGTGCAAGCTTTGTGGACTCTCCTTCATGTCCAGTGTCTATGGGAGTTTTCAGAATTTCCCCTCCTCACAGAGTTTCCCTTCCCTGCGACTGGGGGAGAGCATGGGGTAGGGCACACCTATGGCTCTGGAGGGGTGGGTGAATGCAGAGACAGGGCCAAGGACAAGTCCCCAACAGTGCCCTGGGGAAGGGAGGCTTTTGACATTGGTACAGGAGTTTTCAATCACTGCCTTTTCACTTCAGAGATTGCTTGGGCAGTATAGGGATGTTAGAGAAGCATGCCATGATGATCTTGGGAAACAGGCTGGCAGTGCCTCAGAAGGGCACACCAGAAGCTATGTGTCCCAGTAGTTCTGCCCGTGGTACAAACTCTAGAGATTCTAAAACACATGTCTACAGCAACACTGGGCATTAATGCTCCCAAGTCATCATTAGAAAACAAAACAATTTGAATGTCCATCAGTTAATGATAGACAAAAATATGGTGTGTCCACATAATGGAAGATTGCTTTGCAATAAATATAAACTGTGGATGAGGGAAAGAGCCAGATACACAGGCCATACTGTTTCATTCCATTGGTTTGACAGCTCCTGGGTAGGCACATCCAGAGGATCAGTGATTGCCAGGGTCAGAATGGTAGGAGCCAGTGCAAGTGGTGGTGGTTCTGAAATTTGATCGTAGAGATGAAATGTACTAAAAACTGTTGAATCATGTACGCTAAAGTGATAGTGACATTGTATGTGAATTATGTCTCAGTAGAGCTCTTACCAAAACAAACAAATACCCCAAACAAACCCTGAACAGGGCCCTGGGTTCAAACTCTAAACACAGGAAAACAAAACACCCAAGTGAAACAACAGCAAAACATGGAAGAAGTGATGAGTTTTGCTCTGTGGGAAAAATGGCAGCAGGTCAGTCTGTGGAGGAACCTGTCAGGCCGAACTGTTATGAGACTTTAAACTCACCTTTGCAGAGAGTACTACACAGAGAAGTGTGTCATGAACAACTATTTTGGCATCGGCTTGGATGCGAAGATATCTCTGGACTTTAACAACAAACGTGATGAGCACCCAGAGAAATGCAGGTAGGTAGTCCTCGTTGTCAGGTGTGGAAAGCAGGCAGCCCAGCAAGCCAGCCTAGAAGGGGAAGGGCTCCACCCCTGGAGTTGGCCAGCTTGGGCAGACTGGGATGGGTTGTTTCTTACCGAGCATCAGAGTCTGTGATGGTGCATTAGAGGCAGGTGATGGGTGTGCTGCACAGTCACTGTCCCAGTACTGTGTAGGGAGAGCTCTGCTCATCTACAGACTGCCTAGTCCCTTCCCAGTTGTGGTCAGGATGGCGTGTATAGAGGCTGGGGATTGAAAATTTATTTTTTCCCATGTGCATTTCTGTGCTTTCTAGATTCTCTGTGGCAAGCATAATTTGACTGACTTACTTGTGTGGGTGTGGATGAGCACATGCTACAGTGCATGTGTGGAGGTCAGAAGACCACCACAGGGTGTCAATGTGCTCCTTGATTACCACTCTTTTTTGAAAGTTTTCTATTTTTCACTGCTGTGTACCTGGCTGGCTGGTTCATGGTCTTCTGGGGATTTTCTTGCTTTCCCATCAATCTAGTATGCCTTGGGATTATGGATGTGCTCTACTAGTCATCTCCCCAGCATAATTTTACAGCCAGAAGTCATGATCTATACATTTTTTTTTAAGGGTCACTTACTTGTTTTTCAGGTTGTGATTGCTCTTGGTAGAGTGTTAGTTTGTAACATACTTCCTCATTGGTAAATTTGCTCTTCTTGCATGTCTGAGAAACCCAGACTATCTTGTTATGGTGTCCTACTATACACAGTTGCTGAGTCCCCAAGCTTCAAAGCAGTAATTCAGGTTATTGTAAGGGAAGCCCTGCCCAAAGGAACACTTCTTTTTCCAGGAGTCGGACTAAGAACATGATGTGGTACGGTGTCCTGGGCACCAAAGAACTGTTGCACAGAACCTATAGGAACCTGGAGCAAAAGGTCCTGCTGGAGGTGAGTGGTAGCCTCCTGGGTGCTCTCTCATCCCTGGCTATTGACATTCCTGTTGGACTCCCTGAGGAGCTCCTGCCTCGCCCCAGGTCTCCAGCTAGTGCTGGGGAAGGATTGGTGCATGCTGAGCATTGCTCTTTTCTCTCCACCTTTTTGTGGCTCAGTGTGATGGGCGCCCGATTCCCCTCCCGAGTCTTCAGGGAATTGCTGTTCTCAACATTCCCAGCTATGCCGGAGGGACCAACTTCTGGGGGGGCACCAAGGAAGATGATGTACGTATGGGGTTTGAGGTGGGTGGGCTGGGCTTAGCAAGGTTGGGCATTTGGGACTAGATGTAATATTTCCCTGGTCCTGGCAGTGGACATGGTGGAAGACCAGACAGACAGGCTCCCTCACTGATTGGCCTGCTGTCTAGAAGGCAGGTCTAGCATATGATCACGTGAGAGGAAGCTGAGACTTGAAGGAGAACTTAGCCTGGCCAAGTTGGCTGGTACCAGATGGGGGGAGTACACCGTGTTGGTAGAAAAAACAAGATGTAAAAGCTGAGAATAAGGGGCAGAGAGCATAGAGAAAGGTTCCCCAACTACAGACGGAGAAGGGCTTGGATTGCATGGGGCTGTAGAAGCCAAGGGCAGAAGTATGGAATTTATGCTAAGAATATAGGAAGATATCAACAGGCTTTAACGGAGGTGGGGGGGGGTTGGCATCTTTGCATGTAACTAAAAAGAAAACTAGCACTTACTGCAGACCTAAGAGTGGGCCACTGTTCTAAGCATCTGTTAGCACATTCATTTCACATACTTGCCCCTAAGGAACTAGCACTGTTATCTCCCTCTGAAGGAAGAAGGGCATGAATAACTTGCCTGAGGTCTCATGACTAATAAGTAGTAAGTGTGAGAGCTAGTCCCAGGCATTGTGCTAGCTGGATAAGATACCCAACCCTGTGCTGCATTTACAACCATCTCTGCACCGACCTGTGGGTGTGGGCCTGTCTGCCTCATCAGAACCCCCAGAGCAGGAAGCAAAATAAGGGAGGTGGGTGTTTGGGGAAGTGGGACAGACAGCTTTCAAGCTGGCCCTTTCAGACTTTTGCAGCTCCATCATTCGATGATAAGATTCTGGAGGTGGTCGCTGTGTTTGGCAGCATGCAAATGGCTGTGTCTCGTGTAATTAAGCTACAGCATCATCGGATTGCCCAGGTACTGGCCATGCTGCTCCAGGGGTCTAGCCCACCCCCTTCTGGGGCTCATCCCTGTTTGGCGAGGTAGGGCCTGGCCTCGGACTCCCTGGATTTACTCACAGTACAGACCCAAGGAATACAGGTGTCTTCCTAAGACCTAAAGGTAGCCCCGCTCTGCTCCCTTTCCCACTGAGTGCTGTGAGCCTTGCTGGTGGGAAAGGCCCAGCTGAGCCGTGTCTGCTGCAGAAGTAGTGCACTGTGGGCATGGAGCTGTCTGTGACAGTGAGTGAGCCCACCAGGGCCTGAGGGCACACGACTGAGGCTAGCTTTAATTCTGACAGCATTGGTGAGCTGGTGTAGGTCCACCCACTTGGGGGCAGGGATGAAGTGACTGCACACACAGTGGAGTGCTGATAAAGTCTGTGGGTGAGATTTGCTGGTGTCCGCTTGCGCTCTGTCCCTAACAGCCACTGTTCAATGGTTACCTTTTCGTTCTTGGGCACGTTTAGTAAAAAGAGTTGCTGGACTTCATCACCTGCTGTTGGACTTTGCCCTGCAGTGGGGATGTTTACACATAGCATGGATCATGACCGACTCCTTTACACTTTGATATCTATCTCTATCTGAACATCCTCTACATCTATTTACTTTATATTTGGGGAAGGAACAGTAGCGGCAGGTGGGGCAACAGAGCAGAGTATAAAAAAGGAGGGCCTTAGGTCAACAGCCACGTAAATGGCTATGGGTGAGAAGGTGAGAGTGTAGACACTGTGGGTGCTTTAAAGCCCTTGGCACCTGAATAACTGTTAATGGCATCTGCTTAGTGTCGCACAGTGAAGATCTCCATCCTGGGGGACGAGGGCGTGCCTGTGCAGGTGGATGGAGAAGCCTGGATCCAGCCACCTGGGTACATTCGGATTGTGCACAAGAACAGGGCACAGACGCTGACCAGAGACAGGGTAAGAGCAACTGCCAGAAGGGGCGGGTGGGGTGGGGGCTACCAGTGGCTTGCCCATGGGCTCACTTGTACATTTACAAGAGGCAAAGGTGTTTCATGCTTTGTTGTTGGATTTCTCTTCACGATGCAGAGATTAGTTGACGTGGTGGCGTGCCCTATAGTCTCAGTAATCCAGAGACAGGAGGCCAGCTAAGGTTATATAGTGAGACATGTTTCAAAAGACCCAACGACGCCGGGCAGTGGTGGCGCACGCCTTTAATCCCAGCACTCGGGAGGCAGAGCCAGGCGGATCTCTGTGAGTTCGAGGCCAGCCTGGGCTACCAAGTGAGTCCCAGGAAAGGCGCAAAGCTACACAGAGAAACCCTGTCTCGAAAAACAAAAAACAAAACAAAACAAAACAAAACAAAACAAAACAAAAAAGACCCAACGATGAAGCTAACATCCCTTCCATAAAAAGCTGTTCCCTTGCTGAACCCTTAGAGTGTGTTGTGGGCAGGTGTTGCTCACCCTCTGGAGGGGAGGGCAAAGGAGAAGTCTTGACTCTGGTTCTCACGGTTTAGGCCTTTGAGAACACTCTGAAGTCTTGGGAGGACAAACAGAAGTGTGAGCTGCCCCGCCCACCATCCTTTTCCCTGCATCCTGAGATCCTGTCTGAGGAGGAAGCTACCCAGATGGACCAGTTTGGGCAAGCAGCAGGGGGCCTCATTCACAGGTAGGCCCTGCTGTATTTCCTGAGGCAGGCCCCACGTGCTGGCTCGGTGTCACTGGGGCCTAAGCCTGACTCCTTGGACTTGGTTTGCTTCCCTAGTCTTCTTGGTTATCCGGGTTTGCACAGTGAAAATGTCAGATCCACAAGGGTTTTCAGAGCCACTAAATCTTCAATTCCTATGGTGGGTTTCTGAGAAAGGCCTCAGTTGCCCTGGAGAGTAGTGTGCATCCTGCTCTGGTATTTATTGAGGAAAATCACCAGGCTTTTTCTTCTGTTAGCTGTCCTTGACAAGTGGTTCCTGGAGCTGCTGTTGCTCTTGTGGTATTGCCATTGCAGGCTCCTCCCTGCTTACCTGGGGCTTTCTCCAGAAGTTCTTGTCCTTTCCACAGCTTAGCCTCCCTCTTCTCCTGTGAAGCTGCAAACTAGTTAGTGCCCTTGGCTGGACATTTCTCGTTTCTCTTGAGCGTTTTTCTTTGGCTCTGGCTAAGGGGGCGCTTTGTGTTTCCTGGCCATGTCTGCCTTGCTGTGATGGGCGGAGGCTTCAGACTGCTTAGCAGGTCAGTTTCTCTTTGGTCCTTGCGGGCGTCTCCAGGTGCCTTTGCCTCCACGCTGTTGTCTCTTCTTGGCAAGTAGCTGTCACTGGCGCTCCACTCATTCTACTCTCTTCCCTGTCCGCTATGTTTGTCTAGTTCCTTGTTTTGCAAGGGCCATGGTCCTATTGCTTTATAGTCCCTGGTAGCCTAAGAAGCCTGCCTGGAAGGTGTGTTTACTAGGTCAGCCTTCTGAGAGCCAACAGTAGTCCGATGCTTCCCGTAGGATATGCAAGTTGCTCCCAAGCTTCTCACTCAGCATGCTCTCTCCCATCCCACCTCACCTTACCCAGCTCTCTGAACTACCCTGTGGTTGGCTCTTGGTTTTGCCCAGGCACTCATCATCAACACCAGGTTCCAGTCAGAGGTGGGTCTAACTTCAGATTGCAGAATGACTTGGCCTAGTGCACAGTCTGTGTCTCTTGAGTTTCTTGATGGCCAGCCTGTCTGCAAAGCTGCCTGCAAAGCTGCTTGCCTACTTTGCATTTTGTAAGAGAGGTTTCATTTTATACATTTTCTTCCCTGGAAAAGCTAGGATTTGGTAACAGATTTCCCACTTAAGTCCACTGTTTGGTATTGATCAGAATGTGATATGCCAGTGGCTATGACTGAGATTGTGATGGTCTGTAGACCACTCCCTGTGCATCTGTCCTCTGAGTGTGTTCATAAGCAGTGTGTAAAGGCCTGACATGTGTCTCCTTCCTTCTTCAGCATTCGGGAAATAGCACAGTCCCACAGAGACATGGAACAAGAACTTGCACACGCTGTCAACGCCAGCTCCAAAGCCATGGAGCGAGTATACGGCAAGCCCAGAACTGCAGAGGTACTTAGCCTTTTTGGATCTGGAACCTCCTCACCTTTGCAGCTCTTGGCCTTCCACATAGATGCATTTGTTCTTCTCAGGGGTTGAACTGCAGCTTTGTTCTGGAGATGGTGAATAACATCAGAGCGCTGCGCAGTGAGACAGAGCTGCTGCTGGCTGGGAAGATGGCCCTGGTGAGCTGATAAGATGACCCTTGTCACCAGGGTGTTGGACACTGAAGGGTAGCAGTTTTCAGTTCAGGGTCCTGAGCCTGAAGGAAGGGGACTGAAAACCATGTAGTGTGGCCACTGGGTTGTGGCCACACTCTTTGGCAACATTTCAGCCAGGGTGTTGTTAGATGTTAAAGACCCCTCTTAACAGTATCCGTGTAGTGGACAAATCATGTTTGTTCCTCTTCCTGTGGCTAGGTGCCAGTCACATCAGGTAGGCTGTGCCATCCTGTCTCCACTCAGCATGTGAAACCCTCAGTCTATTGGGTGGGGTGGAGTGTTGCCAAGCTCCAGTTTGCTGTGATGGCTGGCCACTAGCCTGAGTAGGGCCTTACTGGAGACTCCCAGACTCCTTAATGCTCTAGCCGCTGTCTTAGTTGCCTCCCATGCTTGTGCAGGAAGAGCAGGACCTGCCTGCTTGGTGACAGAAGAACCTAGAAGGACTATAGCTGGCCAGGTGCCAGGGCTGCTGCATGTGGCTCCCCAAAGCCAGGGCAGAGGTTCACCCATCCTCACCTATTCCCTCAGGAAGGGAGGTTCTGGGCTCAAGCCTTCCTTACCTGTAGCTTCAGTTCTACAAAGTTTGTATAACAGTGCCTAAGGAGCTTGATAAGCCTTACCCACCTGACTTGGCTGGTCCAGGCTTGCTGTGTTCACAACTCCATTTCTCTCTCCCTTCTTTTGGAGCAGCAGTTGGATCCCCCTCAGAAGGAAAGGCTTAGAGCTGCCCTAGTCGAGATGGACCAGCAGCTCAGGAAGCTGACAGACACACCCTGGCTCTGCCAGCCCATGGAGCTTGGTGAGGAAGAGGTATGTTGGTCCTGAGTTTAATGGCTCATGCTGTTAGTCCCTGTGTGCAATACAGTCCTTGAGGCAGCTTTGGTCTGGAGACTTCTCTACTAAAATGGCCCTCAAGGCCAGGAGAGATTTAGGCATGAAGGAAGGAGTTAAGGGTTGGGGTGAAGAGTGACCCTTGAATAATGGGTCCCCACTGCCTCTGAAACAGGTGGGACTAGGGGTGAAGGAAGCAGCAAGATGTGGGCTAGCCTGCCGCTGTGACTAGTACACTGCAGCTTCTCAGAGGCTGTTGACAGGGACTGAGCCGGTGTAGTGGAATATTAGTGTACGGGGGGTTACTTGTGCTTATGTTACTTTTGTTTAACTCTGTGAAGCTGCACTACTGTGCTTGTGTAAAACACCTGATGGTCTAAAAAGAACTGGCCAATAGCAAGGCAGGAGAGAGGATCGGCAGGGCCAGCAGGCAGAGAGAATGTATAGAGGGAGAAATGTGGGAAGAGGGAGACTAGCAGCCAGAGAAGGAGGAGGACTCCAGGGCCAGCCACCCAGCTACACAGCCAGCCACGGAGCAAGAGTAAGATTTACAGAAGTAAGAGAACGGGAAAACCCCAGAGGCAAAAGGCAGATGGGATAAATTAAGGAAAGCTGGCTAGAAACTAAGCCAAGATAAGGCTGGGTATTCATAAGTAAGAAAAGGCCTCTGTGTGTTTATTTGATAGCTGGAGTGTCACAGCTATCTATGTGCATCTGTGGGTACTTAAAGAGATTCCAACTGGGTGCATATCTAATAGTTTGGATAGCCGGGGTTCCAGGACATACTGTACCTGGGATAGACTCCACCTACAGCAGGAAGAGCAAGCTGAAGGAGGCAGAGGAGGGAGGTATCTGGCAAGGACAAGCCCTAGGCTGCCTCTGGGCTTCTGGTATCTTAGAGATGGAAACAGAAGGGGCCAAGAGAAAGAGTCATCTTGGCCTCCTATAACACAGGAGACAATGTCCTCTTTAACACAGTACAGGAGGTAAATGATACAAAATAGCACCTCTGCCCAGCTTAGTCTGTTGGAACCTTTGGCAGCAGGATGTGAAACGAAGGATGAGGATGTTGGGGCTCAGAGTTTAAGAACACAAGTACCCCTTCCAGATGACCCGACTTTGGTTCCCATCACCTACATCAGGCAGCTCACAACTACATGTAACTCTACTTCCACGGGATCCAATGCCCATTTCTGGCCTCCCTGGGCACCCATGCATACATGGCTTACCACACAAATAAATAAACCCAAACAAATGTATAAGAATAAGAGAATCAAACATTTAGTGAACGTGTTTCTTCCTACCCCGAATTCCCAAGGATAGATTAGGTCTTGGCAAATGAGTTCCTTATTCTCAGTGTTTCCTACTTTCTCCAACAGAATGTGATGCTGGATCTTTCTAAACGCAGCCGCAGTGGTAAATTCCGCCTCGTGACCAAGTTTAAAAAGGAGAAAAATAATAAGAACAAAGAAGTTCACAGTAGCCTAGGAGCCCCTGGTACCTGCCGCTCTCCTGCGTCTGTCTCTCTCTGGCTGTCAAGGCCAGCTGTCCTGGCTCAGTTCTCCTGGTCTCTGCTTTTCTCCTTATCCTTGAGGCTTTCTTTTCCCCTTGGTCCTTGTGCTATGATCCCTAGTCACACTGGCTGCACTAGTCTGTCTTGTACCTACAAGACCAAACCTTGCTTGCTTCCTTTCTCTGTCTGGGTACTGACTGATGTAATGCCCTGCTCAAATACACCTTCCATGGAGACTGTGGGGTGATGGGCAACTGAGCTGACCTGCCTACCCTGAATTTGGGGGCTTGAGGTAGGGAGGACAACAACAGAAATGACAGACAAACTTGGAGACACAAAACTCAGATTGTGCTGGGGTCCTCTGTGCCTGCTCCTTCTGTCAGGCTGCCGATTCCTGTTTAATTGACTCACTGATCAAGGTTCCTAAGCCTGGCACTCCAGGCCACCAGTGATTGCGGGTGAAGAAATCAATAGGAAATGGCGCTAAAGGACATTTTTCTCCCCTTGGATCAGTAAATTGGGGCTTAAAATGTATCTCAGTGGTCGGCCCAGAGCACTGTGGCTGTGTCTGGCACCTTTGGGGCCCAGGGCTGGATTTGGTGTGGCACCTGCCACCACTCAGGGCAGCTCCTGTTTGATTTCTCATCTTTGCATGTTTGTCTAGAATTCGGGTTATGTGAATGATGGTGGATCTGACTCTGCATGGCCTAAGTCTCTGCATGTCTCCCTGTAGTGCTCCAGCTGTGATCTCCTCTGGAAGCTGGAGGAAAGGCTGGCTTTAGTCACAAAGATGTTCCCTTTGTGTTTGGTGTGTTTAATGCCTCTGGAACACAGAGGTATCTAAAAGGCTGGTGACCACCTGGCAGGAGTAGCCAGCACTCCTGCAGTGCATGCCCCTCAGAGGAGGGTGGCTCTCTGTCTCCTTTGCACTGCTGGAGCACAGTGCCTGTGGCTAGGTGATGGGTTCTGGCTTCTGGGGACATCTTGGGTGCCACTGCTGGGATGTCTTGGGTGCTGGTTGCTGGAGGCATCTTGGGTAGCACTGCTGGGTGTCTTGGTGTTGGCTGCTGGGCTCTGAGCATTCACTGCACTCGTGCTTTTCCGTCTCTGACAGTTCACCTCTGGGGGACAGAGGAGGTTGCTGCCTGGCTGGAGCACCTCAGTCTCTGTGAGTATAAGGACATCTTCACGAGGCACGACATCCGGGGCTCTGAGCTCCTGCACCTGGAGCGGAGGGACCTCAAGGTACTTCACAGGTGTCTTCTAGAACCCACACCTGGGCTTTTACACACTCCTTTCAGCTCTGTTCTCTTCCCTGGCCTTGCTGCATCCTAGCATCACCAGTCATCACACAGTTCTTGGTCTTGGACCTTTTTGTGTACCTCAGGTTGACTATGGTCCTTGCTTTTATCAGTGGTGACTTTCTCTGACAGATAAGCAAGGCCAAGTGCAGACACAATGGGGGAAGCGGTGGTTTTCTTAGCCATATAAGAAGGTAATATCCTAACATTCGAAACCAGGGAATGCAGCCCTGTGGTACAGGTTCAGCTGACAAGCTCTAAGTCCCAGTGGCTGGTGGGCCCTGCTGTGCTCCATATGAGCGAAGATGGAAGAGTCTGCTTTCTCAAGCCTGGGAGGAGGGTCAGGCTGCTCATCCTCCCTTCCCTGAACATGTGTGGTCAGGTCTGCACCCATTGCACTACATAGCTAAGCCCTGGCCTGCTTGGCCTTGAAGAGCTGTCTTTTGGGTATTGTTTCTGGTTTTGTCCCAAGGCGGCAAAAGGCCATGGGGACTTCCTTGACAGGTGGCTTTTCCAAGGCTGCCACCCACTTGCTGTCAGGCCTCTTTTCTTTTGTCTGCTGGCTGTCCTTCATGACAGCAGTCTTTGTAGGCAATAGGAACCATGTGTGGGTATCTGCATGACTGATGTTTGTGCCGATTCCTTCCTATTTCATCCGCTGGTATTCTCCTCATTTGTATTTGAAAAAGAGACTGAGAAAAAACATTGGTGGCAGCCAATTTGTAAACCCTCTGGCCTGAGCCCTCTTCCTGATATCCATGGTGCCTTTCTTCTCTGTTGCAGGACCTCGGCGTGACCAAAGTGGGCCACATGAAGAGGATCCTTTGTGGGATCAAGGAGCTGAGCCGGAGCTCCCCTGCCGCCGAGGCCTAGCCTCTGCATTCTCTGCCTGCATCTTCCGCTCCTCCCGAGACTGAGGCCCAGGGAGGACACTGCCACCACTCAGCCCCTGGCCTTTCTCATGGTGCTATTCCCTTTGTTAATGACAGGAAGCCTGATGCTCCTTGGTAACAGCTTTGAAGTCTTGAACGTACCAACACAGCTACCTTTGAGAATCCCTTTCCTAGCTGCAGTCATGGGGCAGACTGGGGCAGTCCCACTTGCGGCTCTTGCTGACCTGCCTTGTGGGCCACAGAGAATATGGTGAAGCCCGACCTCCCAGCACCTGGCACCCCTGCAGAACCTTCTTACCTGGGCCACATGCTTGGACTGTCCTGTGTACTCCTTTTCAGTGTCCTTTATTGGTCCTACTGGGCAGTACCATCGCCACCTCTACTGGGCCTCAGAAGCAGAGTTGGGTCCAGCCTCAGTGGTCCTCACCGGAATGTTCACTGTGCCTGACAGCCACTCTGTGGTTCTTCACAGCAGCCCCACAAAGGCCGCCCACTGCTATTGCCCCTTTTGTTCATGAGTTTTAATTTTTAGAAACAAAAGTTATGTACTTTCCTGGTTTGAAAGTGACATGGATGTGTTTCCAGGCTTATTAGAATCTGTGAAGGACAGGAAAGCCCTCCTGCTTACGCCAGCCAGGCCTTAGGGCACTGGGCTTTCCACTGGGCTCTAAGCATGTGGACAGTCCATGTATCTCCTCAGGATGCTACAGGCGTCTGCAGTCTAGTCTGGGGCAGACAAGGATGAGTTTACACTAGCTCAGCATTACTGTGGAGACCAAGCTTCCTGGGTGCTGGAGACGATGTATGCCATGGGAGAATGAATAGTCAGCAGGGGCAGTCTGGGTCCATCTCAGGTGGCCCAGAGTCTCAGGCTGTGTAGTGGCTTCTTAGTGGTGTGAGGACTCTAACCATAGCCCATGCTGCTGCTGCCCTGCCACTATCTGCTGGGCAGAACTGGTTCTCAAACAGCAGGTGGCACTGTTGGTAGCAGAAGCTCCACAAGGCCCAGACTACATGCTGTGGGCAGTTCCCAGGTGAGGATGCCCCTGGCCTTCAATGCCACTGACTTCCCCTTTTCCCCACTTTCCTCACAGGGACTTGTAGACCAGCTGGAAAGGGCTTTAGCTCAGCCTTGGCAGGAGGTGGGCTGCTGGGCTGTGGTCCTTACCCAGAGAGGACAGTGCCGTGAACTCTGCCAATGCTGTCCTATCTGACAGGGGAAGGAAGTGCTGAGCTTGGACTCTGGGTGGGGCCTCCAGCAGCCCCAGCTGAGGAGGCAGAGTTGACATGCTGCTTGTTCTGCAGACAGACGCCCTGGTCGTCTTCCCTTCCCTGTCAGTTACAGGCAGACCTGAGAGCCCTAGTGGCGTATGGAGAGCCTACAGCGTAATCGCTGCTGCACTGTGCCCCAGGCCTAGAGTTCCACCACAGCAACTGCCTGTCTCTGTGGGACCTGTTGCTCATCATATGTGGGCTGGGAGAATCTCTGCCTGTCTGTGGACTTCACTGCCTCCATGAAAGCAACCCTGAATGGAAACAGCTGTCACTTTTCCGTCTGTTCTGTTTCTCACTGAGCAGTCAGTTGAGACCTGAATGTGAAGGCAGGGATCATCTGGCCTCAGAGAAGTCACAGAGCCTGTGACAGACCAACAGAAACTTAGGTGAGGAGGAAAAACAACTGAGGGCAACACTCAAGTCCTCAGTGGCCTCTTGAGAAAGCATCGCGTTTGGGTGAGGGATGCTGGAAATCAGTGTTGTCTATGACTGACACAGCACTGTTTATACAGTCAACAAGAAGTGAGAGGCCCAGTCTGAGTGCTGGAGGGGCCTGTCAGAGGGGGAGAGAAGGAAGGATCCCTGAGGAATTGGAGAAAAGGTTTTGTGCCTGCAGGTGGGGCTAACCCTCATATTTATAATCTTAATTTATAGTGACCACCTGGAGCCGATGCCTCTTGTATTGTTATGTACATAGTCCGCATCAGAGAGTTGTAAATAAGTTCTTCTCTGTATAATAAAAATAAGCCTGTTTTTGATCTTCCATTGAGCATTCCTGTCCTCATTCCTGTGCTCTGACAGTTGCTAGCTGCTCTGAAGACTTGGTGGCTGTAAAGCAAAACAGTCGTTGTAATCTGGGGTGTGTGTGTGTGTCTGTCAGATGGGCAGTTCAGCCAGCACAGCCCTGGATTAGTCACTAGCAACAAAAAAGGTCAAGCTGGTGCAGGAGCCTCAACTGGTGGCCTGTAGCCACTGTCCGTGCTTCTTGTCAAGGTGCCGTGAATCACCTCCATACACTGAGGTTTGGCTTACTGAACTTCAAAGAGGGAGCTGCTTGTGCTCCCTTAGGTAGTGAGAAGATTCTGCCATCGTTGAGACCCTTGGATTGACAGGAAATTCTTGGTACCACCTTGGCCCTGGCCAGATCCTGTTCCCCAGAATAGTGAACAGATGATGTGACAGCCAGTTTCTTTCAAAATACTTTTCCATGAGTCTAGATTTATTTTAAGCCAAAATACACATTGCCAAAGCAGTATTTCTACTATAAGCCATGTTTGTTGAGTGTCTGAAGTGCTTGGAGAAAAGGCCATACTCTTCAAGCAGCAGGACACAAAGCAGTCAGTGTATGATAGAACCAAGGGCTGCAACTTTAAAAATGGTTTATTTTTTCTTTAATACAATCTTAGTGTTTCCCCCCCCCCCCCCCCCTCTGTTTAGCCTGTTCTATCTCCCAATTAAAAAACAAAACAAACAAAAACCAACCAAATAGAAAGGCCTGTCAACAGGCTTGGGCTGCAGCCAGCACTTGAGGCGCATCTTCTAAAAGCAGTGTCTCAGCTCGCCCATCAGTACTGTTGCCAGAAGCTGGGGTGAAAGGGCAAACTAAGGAGCCACGTCAGTTACAGTACAAGAAACAATAGCCATTACCCAGAGGACTCAGTTGTAGTCAAGTAATGTTTACTGTGTGGGTCTCCTGGAACCCCTTGGTGTGTAGCTATAAGGACATGGCCTAAAGATCACTCACTAGTCCAAATCCAACATCTTAAGATCCATGTGCTTCCACAGAAACAGTCACCTAAAATGACACCAACTCTGGCAAAATGGTGTTGAGAAGACAAAGGACGAACAGGATTACCTGCTGAGTGTCAACTCCACAGAGAAGTCAGCATAGCAATACCAGAATGTGAGACGCTTTAGCCAGCAGGAAACAGCTGAAGCCCAGGCCAGAGTTACTTTTGCCCTGTCTCTCCCTACCTTAGTTCTGTTACATGAAGACATGTAAGAGCTGATGAGAAACTGAGACCTGACAACTTCTTTTAGGAGTGCTGTCTTAGACTAAGTCAGTCCAGGGTCCCAAACCTGCCAGTTCAGTAATAGATACTGTTTTGATAGTGTATTAGTTACAGTGCATAAATACCAAATCTCTTAAATCAGCTAGTTACATGTGCTGACTGAGAAGGAAAAGGCCAGTCTGCCCAGGACAACTGGGAACCTGGATTTGTTGTGCTAGGCTTCTATGATTTCCTGCCTCTTGCCAGCCTGTAGATGGTCAACATCACACCAAGGGAACGTCAGCCTGAGCTCTCTTAGAGTCCTACCTTGAACTTGTCCCAAGAAGAGGCACGTGCTGGAACCGGGAATGAACTCAGGACACACATACCCTTTCCTTGCAGCTTCAGCTTTAGATGGCTAACTGGTCACCTCAACAGTGTAAGCAACTGACTGTGTGTCTTAGCTATCAGATTTGTCCTCTTTGAACAACCTGCCACTGTCCAGGAGCACACTTTATGGAAAGAGGCCGCTGGGGCCAGGCTTGGGAGGTCTGTACTGATTGGCACAGTGTCTGGGTCTGATCAGCTCTGCGGCTGCTGTGCTGCAGAGCTGGTGATCAAGTGTACCTGCTTGGCCTGAGAAGTGTCATCCCTTTGTCACAAGGCTGAAGACTTGGTATCACTGGCTATGGAGGCAACCAGCTTGTCCACCATAAACCCACAAGGCCGCAGTCACAGGACTGGAACACAGTGCATACGGCTGCAGGGCTATCTGAAGCTTGCAACATGGATGGACAGAGAAGCTTCTGGTCCCCGGGGCCGAGTGCGCATCTCTGCACTGGAGAACACATCGCTGCTCTGTGCACGCAGGACTTCTCGGCTGTGGGAGACAGGGTGGCACTGATACACAGGCATGGGTGAGGGGCCTATTTAGTTTTTTTCTTTTTTTAAGATTTACTTTCATGTGTATGTGTGTTCTGCCTGCATGCCTGGTGCCTGTGGAGGTCAGAAGAGGGCACTAAATATCCTGGAACAGGAGTTATAAATGGTGTGAGCCACCATGTGGGTGCTAGGAACTGAAGCTAGGTCCTCTCTCTGCAAAAGCAGCTAGAGCCATCTCTCCAGGCCCTGTGCCAAGGGTGCTTAGAATGGCTCCCAAATGCATTCCTGATACTAGGGCTCAACGTAGAATAGGGTTTGCAAGTCGGACAGATGTTTTCAAACTGCCCATCTGAGGGCTCCAGTTCACTCTCACGCCATCCCTGTAAGAAGGGGGTTCCCCACATCCTGGCTGCACATTCAACAGTGTAACCCTTCTCTCCTTCACATTTTAAACTGAAAGTTAACATTCACAGTGTACTCAAATCATAGCCACACACCTAGGTGACAGTTCGGTCAGCTCCATTTTGCTTTCTCAGTCTCTGTCCCCAAGTAGCCACCACTCTCTCTCACCACTTCGCAGACCAGTCTTCACTGTGACTCCCAAACACAATCATGGCACTGTGGCTGCTGGTCTGGCATTCACACTGCATAGTGCCCTCTGCACACGACTCCTAGGACAGACTCATGCGAAGGCGGAGCTCAGGCTACTGTGCACTTTGTACTGTATCTGCTAAAAGTGAGTTTCTGAGGGTACTGCTGTGTGACAGGTGTGTACTCCTCAGTAGTGCGAAGCACCTCCCAAGTGTTGTTCCATCTCTACCTGCCAGCTGGGCCACTGTCCCAGGCACTGTCTTCTTACCAAGGTGGCATCATTTCAGTAATGCTAGTGAATGTGTAGTAGTTTGAATTGACATTTTGTTGATGAATGAACTTAGTTAAGCATTTTCTGTATGCTGACAAGCTGTCTGCATTTCCCTTCTGTGAACTGTCTGCTCAAACTCTTTATGTTTTTATTAGCTTGTTGGCCTTTCTACTAGCAGGTATGTTTATACTAGTGGTCCTAGCTTTTGACCTAGCCATCACACTCACCTGCTCTCCAGATTAACCAGTATCTGTGCCACCAGTTACTCTGAGCTTCACCCGTGTATGGCAGCAGAGTGCCATACTACCACCATTTGTGAAGGGTGTCAGTGAAGGGCAAGCATGCTCTCTGAGAGGGTGTGTAGGGAACAGTGATGCTGGTCCTTTAGGAAGGTGAACCTATAATGAGCCCCATTGGTGGCTTTTGAATCTGGAAGTCTATAACAACACTAAGTCTCAAAAAATAAGATGGAAAAAGTAGGAAGCAGTGCTGGCTGGTAAGGACACAACCATTCCCGTCGCACGCAAAGGGGGCGCCTGGCCGCACACAGGAGTGGCAGCAATACACAATGTTCCAGCTCTTCATGGGGATGGTCATGAAGGGCCTGACCTGGAACACTGTTGGGTGACAACTAGGGCCCTGCAGAAGATCAGAGGAGATGTCTGAAAGGGTAGCAAGAATGCCAGCTTTCATTCCTGGTGACCTTGAGTAGGGCCTGGCCAAGCCTCAGAGTTACCTTTTCTTTTTCTCCAAAGCCAGCTGCTTCTGGTTTTCCTTCCCAATGTCATCTCTGATGGTGCTGAAGTCATCATCGTCATCAAACAAGAGATTCTACATTTCAAAACAATAAAGACCAAATTTTCAGTCTGGTCTACATTTACAACAGGCTTGTAGTAGACTATTCAAACTGACAAGATACTCAGACTTAACTGGTTTTTGGAAAACTAGATTTTTTTTTTCCAGTCAGTATTTTTATTTATTTGTGTGTGTGTGTGTGTGTGTGTGTGTGTGTGTGTGTGTGTGTGTGTGTGTGTGTGGCATGCACATAACATGAGCATGCCACAACATGTGTGGAGATCAGAAGACAACTTTGTAGAGTTTGTTCTGCCCTTCCCATGGTCGGGAGGATGGCTGAGCAGGTAAGGACTTGCTGTTCAAGTCTGAGAACCTGAATTCAAATCTCCAGCAACTATGTGGGAAAAGTCAGGCGTGTCTCCTCATGCTGGCCACCTCTGCACTAGAGGGGTGAAGACAGGAGGACCACCAGGGCTTGCTGGCCATCAGATTAGTTCCAGGTTCAGCAAAAGCAAAGTGCTAGAGCAGGATACCCAGCATCCTCTCCTGGCCTCTGTGCATGCATAACTACACATACACACAAATGAATAAAATAAACTTAAAGTCTAGACTGGCCTGAAACTTATAATCCTCCTGCCTCCAACTCCCAAGTGCTGTGATTACAGGTAAAGGCAGCATGCCTGGCTGTTTGCTACTATTTTATTTAGAGTTAGATTTTTATGTTCATTGGGTGTGATGGTTCGTATTACCTGTCAACTTGACAGAATCTAGAATCACTTGGGAGAGGGGCCTGCCTGTGGGGATATCTTGATTGCCTGAACTGAGGTGGGAAGACCTGCCTACTACAAGTTGCATCTCTCCGGACACAGGGTCCTGGACTGTAAAGTGGAGAAACTGAGCAGCAAGCATGTACTCACCACCCTTCCTGACTCCGGTTGTGATGTGACAAGGTTTCTCAGGCCCTGGCACTGTGAGCTCCAATACGCCCTTTCTCTCCTAAGTTGCTTTTGTCAGGGTATTTTATCAGAGGGATAGACAGAGAAACTAGGACAAGGGTCATAAGCAAGCTGGCCTAAGTCCTTTATTATTGTCCTTGGCAGGGTTGGTCTCAAGGCTCTGCCTCCCTCACAGTGAATTATCTGTCTTTCCCCTCTTTCTCATTCATTCCCTGAAACAATTTGTATAAAACAAGATTATCTGCTAAGTTTCTCTACAAAATATTTGATCTTTGTG